CTGATAGAATTCTGAGAGTCAACGTATTGTATTATATAGCTTTTAAATATTTTAAATTGGTAATTATTGTAATTTTTAATGCTTTTTAAGTCATTTGTAAATGATATATGTTGCTTCCTTGATTGGGACTTTTCCATTTGTGACATATATATATAGATATTTGGTACCGGTGATAAATTTTTATTTTTTTTTGTTTTAATTTATGTGATATAAATGGAATTTGAAGATCAGTCGATTTTTTATATGTTTTGTGCCCGTGATAAATATTAATTTTTTTTGTTTTAATTTATGTGATATAAATGGAATTTGAAGATCAGTCGATTTTTTATATGTTTTCTTAAAAATATATTTGAAGTTATTAAATTGTTGTGATTTATAGTATTTTTGCGTTAGTTTTGAATAATATAGGTTACTCATGTTTCAATTCACGTGAACAATCATAAATATTTTCAGTTGTTAATTTATTGTGAATTCTAGAAATTTTGACGTTATTTTCAAATAGTACATGTTACTTTTTCTATTCCAATTAGTCAACCAAATTTCTTGTATGATTTAATTGCTAATTATTGTGATTTATAGCATCTTTTATGTAACTTTTAATAATATATAATTTGTTCAAATTCATATGACAATGAGGTCAAACTTTTGGGCTAATAAAGTAGTAGGTAATTAATGTTGTTAAATTGTCCAATAATATAAATTTTAAAGGTACAACCATAAAAGAAGAATGTACAACACTATCAAGCACATATCATCCAACACTTGTCATGTGGTAAGTAGTAGATATTCCCACTTATTATATATAGTAATATATATAACTTTTTAATAAATAGATAGTGTACTAAAGCAAATACAATCACATGACAAATTATTTTGAATAATAATATGATTATAAAAGTACAAAAAATAATAAGATTATGCTTAAAATATGAAAGGATAAGCGATACAACATCTGATTGAGTCATTGTTATGCCAAATGGTCTATAACAATGTTATAAGTTAGTAATGTTTGAATTTTCTACATAGTTTAAATCTCCTCTAACCCAAATCAACTTGCCCCTTAAAGTTGAATTATCCTATGTAAATATCGAATACGAATAAATATTATTTCAATTCTAATTTTTTTTATGGGGACTAGTTGTCCTTTGATAATTGGGTTGGTGGGTTAGAGGACAAGGATATATAGTTTGTCTTCTATGTAAAAAAAATATCTTTTAAATTTTGACATCTTGACCAATTAAGCCAAACATTGTCTTCTAGTAAAATCTTTAGTGTTGATGAAATCTTGACTAATTCAATTAGTTATGTGAAAGTAGAAATTTTGTATGCACTCAGCCTTCCTACTACAGATAAAAAAAAGTTTTGATATTAGTGTTGAGGTTCGATTAATTTAGATTCATGTAATACATCACTTATATTATGAGGATAACATTCTTAACAAAATTCTTTTTTTAAATTCAGAGCTTGAATCGAGATCTCTAGTTAAGAGTGAAGGATTCTCAACTATCCCACCACAACTCATATTGAATCGAGGTCATGTTTGAATATAGCATATATAATAAGATAAAGTAATATAGCATGTTCATGTTAATTATTTTATGTTAATTTGATGATTAGATAGAAATTTACGACTTTTTCAAAATCTTGTTGCAACTAGATATTCAAAAGATAATATATATACTATATTTTAAGTAGGGATTATTGTTTTATTTTCTTAAAGATTATATAGTTACCACTTACCTTCTTCTATTTTCTTATCCATACTATCATATACTCGATCATACAAAAATGTGATGAAATGAATAAAATTAGAAATTATTTGATAATTGATCGAAGTTATGCAATTTTATGATATATGAATTATTTAAGACAAATTTATGAATTTTTTTATGTAGAGATTAATTATGCAGGCTTTAATTATCCATATATTAACTATCATACTTCCAATTTTTCATAAAATAATACATAAATAGCTTTGAACTTTTGAGGAATAGTAGTTTCTATTTGACTGATAAAATTTTAAAAGCAATTCTATTTAAAATTTAATCCTAAATTTTAAATTGAAATACCCACTAAATGGCGGGTCATTTCGGGCATTTTCCTAGTTGACCCATAAAAGAACTTACATGAGAAGATAGAATTTTATTTTTTTTGGGTTTTATTTGTTTGATACACATATATAAAAGGAAAAAAATTTAATAGTTTGATTTGGTAATTAATAATAATGAAAATAAATAAGCAAATAAGAAAATAAAATTGAGTTGGATAAATTAAGCTATGACCTATTATTTAGGATGTGTTTGGTATGAAGAAAAATATTTTAAAATTTTTCATGTTTGGTTGTCTTAGCTTAAATGTTTTGAAACTCTTTTCTAAATAAACTTATTTTTTTTATAAATTTAAGAAAAATGACTTTTCTTCGTAAAGTAAAGACTTCTTTTTTTCTATCAAATGTTGCATACCGACTCTTGACCTCGCTCTAGGACCTGACTCCTAATTTCGACCCTAATTCAGACCCTGACACGGGTTATTCCCAACCCCAACCTTGACCCATGTTCCCAACCCAAACTCGGGTCAAGATTGGGTCTCGAGTAGGCATCGAAGTTGAGAATCGAGTCCGATATCATAGTATTTGCTTATATTAAACTTAAATATTTTTAAAATAATATTTTCTTTATACTAATTAAACATGATCCAAATAAATAAATAGTGTGTCATTAAGGAAAATCAAAAACCTGAGTGTGACAAAATTCTCATTTTTCTTTTCACATTAATACTTTGTCTTAACTTACTCATGAAGAATTCAATTTATAAGCAAGATGAAAGAGATGTATTAACCACTAAATATTTATGTGTCAATTTTCTATCACCCATTAAAAAGAACAATGTAAATGAATATATAAACTAAATAACCAAACTAGTCTTTTGAAGTGTACTCTCTTATTTGGTTTATAACACATACCTTATATAATTGATGAACTAATAATAGAGTTAAAAATAGAAGAAAAAAAACTTTGAAGGTTTGAACACATAATATAATATACCCATAACACATGTGTCAGTAAGCCTCGTTGTTAGACCATTTAATATAAAGTTCTCCGCGTGTAGTGCAGTGGATGAAGCTGCTCTTTTCTTAATCAAAGATTTCAAATTTAAGCTTTGGGTATGAAAAAAATCCTTAATAGGGAGCGCTAGAGAAAATGATCAAAATGGTCCTTGATGTATTGGGGTTGCTTTATTTTGATCCTTAATATATTCTAAGTGATTGAAATAGTCCTTAATGTATGACAAAATATGTTCAATTTAGTCTTTTACCCTAAAATGACAAAATGTGTTCAATTTAGTCTTTTACCCTAAAACTTAACAATTTATCCCCAAAAACGGTTAAATATAACTGTGGGGCCCACATAACTTACAAAATCCACCATTTTTACCATCTTTATTAGCTCAAATTCTTGACGATCCATTTCATTCAACCTTTTTATAATAATTATTTTGTAATTGTGTGGTTAGATGTTAGAGAAAATAGTGTTTTAGAATTTATGAAACTCTTTGTTTGAGCTAATAAAGATGGTAAAAATGGTGGATTTTGTAAGTTATGTGGGCCCCACAGTTATATTTAACCGTTTTTGGGGATAAATTGTTAAGTTTTAGGGTAAAAGACTAAATTGAACACATTTTGTCATACATGAAGGACTATTTTCAATCACCTAGAATATATTAAGGACCAAAATAAAGCAACCCCAATACATCAAGGACCATTTTGATCATTTTCTCGAGAGCGCTACCTCTCAAACAATGCCCTATCCGGCTCTAATACGAGTACCAAATATCAGGTGAAAAATCAAATAAAACATAAAATTCTCCAACGGCATTATCTAAGATAGTACTATTAATTTAATATAAAAGGAATGTGCATTTCAAGAACTTCTAGATAAAATGACACAAATGTCAAAAATAGACTACTTTGAATGTTGAAATTAAGGTAAAAGGAATTAATTGTTGATTTAACTCTTGACTGTCACTTGTTTTTTTACCTATAAATACCATCTAACAATATTTCATTCTCACACAACTCACAACATTCTCACACATAACATTTTATATATCCTTTTTTTGTGTCTTCAATATCTCTAATAACATCATGGGTGTCACTAGCTATACACATGAGACCACAACACCAGTTGCCCCTTCTAGGTTGTTCAAAGCTTTGGTTGTTGATTCTGACAATCTTATTCCTAAGTTGATGCCACAAGTTAAGAACATTGAGGCTGAGGGAGATGGAAGCATCAAGAAGATGAACTTTGTTGAAGGTAATATAATAATTGATCTGATTGTGTAAATATTTTTTGCAACGTTAGTAGATAGGACTAATTAAATTCTTTAAGTGAAGGGTTAAAAAACACATTTAAAACATTTCGATTATAAGAGTTTCATACCTGAAATATCAAACGTGTGATTTCCTATCAAAATTCTTTTGCATTGATCGAAATGTTGACTTTTACATTTTCCAAAAAAATAAAAATACTACAACATATATATCAATATATTTTCACAAGTAGGGTATGGAAGGTGGATGTACTGTGTACGTAGATCATATCTCCATCTTTGTGGGGTTAAAAAAGTTATTTCTGATAGATCTTCGTCTCCTTAAATGACAGGTTCACCAATCAAGTACTTGAAGCACAAGATTCATGTTGTTGATGACAAGAATTTGGTGACCAAATATTCAATGATTGAAGGAGATGTTATTGGAGACAAACTTGAGTCCATTTCCTATGATCTCAAATTTGAAGCTCATGGAAATGGAGGATGTGTTTGCAAGTCTATAATTGAGTATCACACAAAAGGTGATTATGTGTTGAAGGATGAAGAACACAATGAAGGCAAAAAACCAGGCATGGAACTTTTCAAGATTGTTGAAGCATACCTCCTCGCCAATCCTTCTGTCTACGCTTAAGTGATGAAAAAAGAATCAGGTCTACACGTGAAATATAACGCGTTGTGACATTATATAATAATTAAGAAAATAAAGTAGGCTCTAATTAAAAAGTTTAATCTTTTAAATGAGATATCATTCTGTAGGTTTGAGTTTTCATTGTTTTAGTGTTTTTTGTTGAGTGTGTGTTCTTTTTCCAAGTTTATCATGGGAAGAACTCTTAATAATGTAGCAACCTTTAATTTTGCTTATCAAATACTTATATAAAAAATATGTTTTACTTTTCAAAAATTAATTGTTTCAAGTTAAGTACCTACAGTAGAAAACTGATAACTCAAATGAGGTTTATATAGTCTTTTCTAAAACTGTGGTGACCGGTTAGTGTGTACATATTTCGACTAATTCACTATAGTATAGAAAGTGTAAGTGATTAATTACACAAAGGGAGTATTACTATTATGTAGAATGTTTCGACTAATACTATTATGAAGTACATATATCGATTAATTCTTTCTCAAATTTCGTATTAAGTTGACTAATATCATATATATTGAAACGAAGGAAGTATTACTATTACGTAGAATGGTTGCATCATTCACAATGTTACCTTTAGCAGTGGTTATTAGTAGAGAAAATGTACACATTAACATTCCTTTTTGAGACTGAAATGAATTTATCCCACATCGTTAAAGAATAGGAACATTTAGTTCTTTTTAAAAGAACTAGAGAGAGTGTTGTATGCTGAGCTTAGTAATGTGGGCTTGTAACCCAAATGGGGGCATTAATGTGGTGGAATGTTGGGCTGTCCCAGATGGTTGGGCTTTGGTGGGCTAATTTCTGGCTTGCCCTATCCAAGCTCAGAGTTGGATCACGTGGCCCAATTGAAGAAATGGGCTGCTGGATTCCGAAAGTGGGGTGGACTGCGTGAGGCTGGTTTCACAGAGCAACGAACAGCTCCTGCTCTGAGCAGTGGAAGGATAACGAGCCGGTGCTTTCTAAGTCCAATAACGCCTGATGGGCTGCTCCAATTAAACCACCATTTTTTTCTTTTGTTTCTATATAAATAAAAGTTAGTAGATAGTCGAACGTTGTTTTGCGTTCATGAGGAATAAATTTGGTGCATCGTACTTGTTTTTCCTTTCATACTAGTAGTATATATTAACATTATTCTCCTAATTTTTTGTCCTTCGATTATCTCATCATTTTGTTGTTGTTATTGTGGTAGACTAAAATGACTTAAACTTAAGTGGAGAAATATGATCATTTATATAAAGGATCCCAACTCATTTAGGACCGAGATATAGCTATTTTTAAATAATTGGGATTTGAAATAAAAAGGCACGATTAGTGAGAATTTGTATATTTGTTTCTTACTTATTTGAGACATAAGCATATATCATAATTTTTGGTAGATGAAATTGTTGCTAATATACTAGCAGAATAAGAAACGAAAGTATAGTTTGAGAATTAATAGAATTGTGTTTCCTTTAGATATATTTGTATTTGTTCATTAATTTTTGTACGGGTACTCGATATTAGAAAACTTTGAGGCAAAAACTTCTTCCCCAGTTCCTCAGTTCGTCTTTTCTATATGAAACTTTAATAGTTATTTGAATTAATTTGTAGACTTTCTATAAAAAAAATCATTTTGTTAAAAAGCTAAAGAATTCACTAGATTATCTTTTTATATTTAGTATTAAATAATACAAATAATGAACTTTTATAAGAAAAGGAGTAAACTAGCGGGAAAATACTTATTAAAGCCAGACTATTATGTTTTGGTCATATTAGTACAGTTATTTAGGTTCTAAGAGTAACTTCATATGCTTCTTTTTTTTTTCACATTAATACTTTGTCTTAACTTTCTCATGAAGAATTAAATTTATAAGCAAGATGAAAGAGATTTATTAACCACTAATCATTTATGTGTCAATTTTCTAGCATCCATTAAAAAGAATAATGTAAATGAATATATAAACTAAATAATCAAACTAGTCTTTTGAAGTGTACTCTCTTATTTGGTCTATAAAACATTCTTTATATAATTGATGAACTAATAATCGAGTTAAAAAATAGAAGAAAAAAAACTTTGAAGGTTTGAACACATAATATAATATACCTATAGCACATGTGTTAGTAAGCATCATTGTTACTTTGTTAGACCATTTAACATAAAGTTCTCCGCGAGTAGTGCAGCGGGTGGAGCTGCTCTTTTCTTAATCAATGATTTCAGATTTAAGCTTTGGGTATGAAAAAAAATTCTTGATAGGGAGTGCTACCTCTTAAATAGGGTCTTATCTAGCTCTAAGACGAGTGTCATATATCAGGTGAAAACTCAAATAAAACATAAAATTCTCCAACGGCATTATCTAAGATAGTACTATATATTAATTTAAAATAACCACCACTTTTTTTTTGTATAGATTTAGCAGAAGGAATTTATTCACCTATATTTGAGCTTAGAGAATATGAAGATCATGAATTAGGATAGAAGGTTAGTACATAATTTAACGTTGTCTCACGTTCATGAGGGATATATTTGGTGACAATTTGATGCATTGTACTTGTTTTTCCTGTCATACTAGTAGTATATAAATATTATTCTCATAGTTTTTTATCCTTCGATTATCTCATCATCTTGTTGTTGTTAGACTAAAATGACTTGAACTTAAGTGGAGAAATATGATCATTGATGATTCATATACCGTATCCCAACTCATTTAGGTTCAAGATATAACTATTTTTATATAATTGGAATTTGAAATAAAAAAACACGATTAGTGAGAATTTGTACATTTGTTTCTTGAAGTGTACTCTCTTGTTTGGTCTATAACACATACCTTATGTAATTGATGAACTAATAGAGTTAAAAAATAGAAATAAAACTTTGTAGGTTTGAACACTTGAATATAATATACCCATAACCCATGGGTCAGTAAGCCTCATTGTTAGACCATTTAACATAAAAGTTCCGCGAATAGTGTAGTGGATGGAGTTGCTTTTTTCTTAATCAAAGATTTTAGATTTAAGCTTAGGGTATGAAAAAACTCTTTCATAAAGAGCATTACCTCTCAAACAGGGTCATATCCGGCTCTAATACGAGTAACAAATATCATGTGAAAAATCAAATAAAACACAAAATTCTCCAACGACATTATCTAAGATAGTGTTCATTTAATATAAAAAGAAGGCACATTTCAAGAACATCTAGATAAAATGACACAAATGTCAAAAATGGACTACTTTGAATGTTGAAATTAAGGTAAAAGGAATTAATTGTTGATTTAACTCTAGACTGTCACTTGTTTTTTTACCTATAAATACCATCTAACAATATTTCATTATCACACACCTCACAACATTCTCACACATAACATTTTATATATCTTTTTTTTTCTGTTCTAATAACATCATGGGCGTCACTACCTATACACATGAGACCACAACACCAATTGCCCCTACTAGGTTGTTCAAAGCTTTGGTTGCTGATTCTGACAATCTTATTCCTAAGTTGATGCCACAAGTTGAGAACATTGAGGCTGAGGGAGATGGAAGCATCAAGAAGATGAACTTTGTTGAAGGTAATATAATAGTTGATCTGATTGTGTAAATATTTTTTGCATCGTTAATAGATAGGACTAATTAAATTCCGGGTTAATTAAAAATTCATTAACGTATTTCGATTATAAGAGTTTCATTACCTAAAATATCAAACGTGTGAGTTTCCTATCAAAAATTCACTAGCATTGATCAAAATGTTGACTTTTACATTTTCCAAAAAAAAATACTACAACATATATATCAGTATATTTTCACAAGTAGGGTATGGGAAGGTGGATGTACTGTGTACGTAGATTATACCTCCATCTTTGTGGGGTTAAAAAAGTTATTTCTGATAGATCTTCATCTCCTTAAATGATAGGTTCACCAATCAAGTACTTGAAGCACAAGATTCATGTTGTTGATGACAAGAATTTGGTGACCAAATATTCAATGATTGAAGGAGATGTTCTTGGAGACAAACTTGAGTCCATTTCCTATGTTCTCAAATTTGAAGCTCATGGAAATGGAGGATGTGTTTGCAAGTCCATAACTGAGTACCACACAAAAGGTGATTATGTGTTGAAGGATGAAGAACACAATGAAGGCCAAAAACAAGGCATGGAACTTTTCAAGATTGTTGAAGCATACCTCCTCGCCAATCCTTCTGTCTACGCTTAAGTGATGAAAAAAGAATCAGGCTCACACGTGAAATATAACATGTTGTGACATTATATAATAAAGTATACTCTCATTAAAAAATTTAATCTTTTAATGAGATGATGGTTTGAGTTTTCATTAATGTTATAGTACTTTTTGTTGAGTTGTGTGTTCTTTTTCCAAGTTTATCATGGGAAGAACTCTTAATAATGTAGCAACCTTTAATTTCGCTTATCAAATACTTATATATAAAAAAAAATGTTTTACTTTTGGAAAATTATTTGTTTCTGCTTATGTGAGTTTTACCCGCCTTTTACTCTGCTTGCTTCTGACTCCCTATGAGCCCTTACTTTTTCGGAGGGTCGGCGGGGCATGGGAGCCTCAGCTCATGCATCGGTTAAGTTAGCTTGTTCCAAAGTAGCTAGAGCAGAAAATTAATAACTCAAATGAGGTTTACATAGTCTTCTCTAAAACTGTGGTGTGTACATAATTCGACTAATTCACTATAGTATAGAAAGTGTAAGTGGTTATTGAAATAGAGGGGGTATTCTCTTACTATTATGAAGTACATATATTGACTAATTCTTTCTCCAACTTCGTATTCACTTAACTAATATCATATAAATTGAAACGGAGGGAGTATTACTATTACGTAGAATGGCTGCATCATTCACAATGTTACCTTTAGCAGTGATTATTATATAAGTATAGAGAAAATGTACACACTAGCATTCCTTTTTGAGAATGAAATGAAATTATCCCACATCGTTATAGAATAGGAACATTTAGTTCTTTTTAATAGAGTAGATGAATGTATTGTTCGCTGAGCTTAGTAATGTGGGCTTGTAACCCAAATGGGGGCATTAATGTGGTGGAATGTTGGGCTGTCCCAGATGGTTGGGCTTGGTGGGCTAATTTCTGGCTTGCCCTATCCAAGCTCAGAGTTGGATCATGTGGCCCAATTGAAGAAATGGGCTGCTTGATTCCTAAAGTGGGGTGGACCGCGTGAGGCTGGTTTCACAGAGCAACGAACAGCTCCCGCTCTGAGCAGTGGAAGGATAACGAGTCGGTGCCTTCCAAGTTCAGTAACACCTTATGGGCTGCTCCAATTAAACCACCACTTTTTATATTAGCATTATTTTCGTAGTTTTTTACCCTTCGGTTATCTCACGATTTTGTTGTTGTTATTGTGGTAGGCAAACATGACTTAAACTTAAGTGGAGAAATATGATCATTGATGATTCATATAGCAGATGATCCAAACTCATTTAGGTCGGAGATATAGCTATTTTAATATAATCGAGATTTGAAATTAAAAAATGTGCAATTAGTGAGAATTTGTATATTTGTTTCTTACTTATTTTGAGACATAAGCATAGATCATAATTATTGGTAGATGAAATTGTTGCTAATATACTAGCAGAATTAAAAATGAAGTATAGTTTGAGAATTAATAGAATTGTGTTTTCTTTAGATATATAATGTTTGCCTCGATCTAATTTCATAATTAGTAAATAAGATAATCTTTAATTAAAGAGATCCAATAAAATACTTTATTCTATATTTTATCCACTCATTGAATAAAGTTAAGCTTTTATTTTTGTCTTTGTAGGTACCACATCGAAAATGTAAACCTAACTTTGGTACTATATATTGATCTGATGAACCTTATATTATTGCCGAGCTCAGTAGCGTGAGCTTGTAACCCAAGTGGGGGCATTAGTGTGATGGAATGTTGGGCTGTCCCAGATGGTTGGGTTTGGTGGGCTAGTGTCTGGCCTGCCCTGTCCAAGCGCAGAGTTGGATCACGTGGCTCAGTTGAAAGAATGGGCTGCTTGATTCCTAAAGAGGGGTGGACTGCGTGAGGCTGGTTTCACAGAGCAACGAACAGCTCCCGCTCTGTGCAGTGGAAGGATAACGGGTCAGTGCTTACCGAGTCCAGTAACGCCTGATGGGCTGCTCCAATTAAACCACCACTTTTTTTGCATCTGTTATGGCTCGAACTCCAGACTCAAAAATCTAGGCTCGAACTTTGTATTTGTGCTTAAGAAGCCACTTAATATGTATACATACATAGTTTATCAAGAATCCAATAAGCTATGTTTTCTACATCCAAAACTCTCAGATTCAAAAATCTAGTCTCGAACTCTGTATTTGTGCTTAAAAATCCACTTAATATGTATACATATATAGTTTATCGAGAATCCAATAGGCTATGGGTTCTACATCCAGAACTCATAGACTCAAAAATCTAGCTCGGACTCAGCACAGTAACTCAAATTGACAACAAAAGCTGTCTATTATAGCAACTTAGTCCATGAAGCCAAGAATGGGAACATGGAAATCAATAATCTTAACAAAAGGGGCGTATCACTAGTCGCTTCTGGTCTACTTAACTTACCCTTTTCCACAGGTATTTTTGATGTTTCAGCTGATGATTTATCTGAACTTTCAAATGAACTTTTGCTAGATTGCATTTCTTGATCAAGTTCATCCCACCCTCCATATCTAGATACCTCTCGGTCACCCTTACTAGCTGAAACGTCCTTGTTGGACACCCATGATTGATAGCCCGTCTTTCTCTTTCGTGTCTTGGAGCTTCCTCCTCTTCTCCAAAAGTTTGTCTTGCTTGAGGTGGGAGCAGCACGCTGTCTCTTCTTAGTTGTACTCTTGCGCGTTGGTTTGTTTTGTATCACGTCCAGTATCTTTTGGATTGCAAAAAAAAGTGTGGATTGTCCAATGGGAAGGGCGAATGCCATAACAAAAGCTTTAGCTCCTCCAGTAGAAATCAATACTAATAGAATTGGTAGAAACACAAAACCGTAGGAGCAGAAAACCTGCACTGGCCAAAAATGATAACTTGTAAGTTATTTGACAAAAATCATCTTACCTACGTTTCAATTTCTACTCGAGAACGTTTTAGCAAGACTAGTCACTAGTTAGATAGCTATACTTAGGAAGTCAGTCGAAAATGTAGTGAAAAGAAAGCTACTGGAAGCATAGAAAAACACATCGAGCATAGCTCTTAAATGATTATATTAACAGATTTTTCAAGAATCAAAGAGCCTTTCTAGTCCAAAACCTCGATCCTGGTTAGTAGTACTGCAGTTAGATAATGCATAATATATACTCATAAGTTGCGGCTGAGCCAGGATATTGGACATGGACAGTGGATAGGGGAAACTTTCAGATTTTGGAAGATTTGATTGGGCATAAGACTAGAAGAAAAGCTTGGGCCATTGGGTGGGAGGACGTTTGAGGACAAATGGTAATACTCCCCATTAACCAACCATATACAGGAAGAACGTCCGAAACTCATGGAAGATCTCAGAAGAATAATTAGCATAGGAAACTAGTTCAGTGTTGAAGTTCTTGAGTTTTGATAATCGGAAACAACCTCTCTACCTTCACAAAGTAGGGGTAAGGCCACGTACACTCTACACGTTTCATAACGGAAAATCTTGGAATAGTCAACTGTTTTATACTAAATTCACTAAGTTTATCATGTACTTCAACAATTTGAACTCAAAGAACACAACCTATCATTTCAAGAAAACATTATACTAAATTCACTCAATTCAAAATCAAGCTCATGTATCTAAATACCAAAAGCAATCTGGTTCAGTCTCAACATAATCCAAAAGCATCACTTTACACTAACATCTTATTTCATGAAAAAAATACAAAACAAAATAACAACATACTTCATCTTTCTCAGAGAAAAAAAAATGGATTCAGGTTAAAGTGCAGATTCCACAAAAACCTCATCTTCCTTCAATCCAAGAAGTACCTAAAAATGTCAAAACTCCATATCCATGCCAAGAAGTACCTAAAAATGTCAAAACTCCATATCCATGCAAAAAAATCCAAACTTTAAGCTCAAAACCCAAAATTCAAGTACCTAAGAATGTAAAAACCCCATATCCATGCAAAAAAATCCAAACTTTAAGCTCAAAACCCAAAATTCAAGTACCCCAAAATGTCAAAACCCCATATCCATGCAAAAAAATCCAAACTTAAAGCTCAAAACCCAAAATTCAAGTACCCAAAAATGTCAAAACTCCATATCCATGCAAAAAAATCCAAACTTAAAGCAGCAAACCCAAAATTTAAGTACCCAAAATGCCAAAAAGAAACCAAACTTCACAGGAAAAAAACAGGAACACAAGTTTATAATTCAAGAAATAAAAGGGAGAAGCAGAAAAGTTACTACCTTAAAAATCCAAATACTTTCAATATACTCAGCAAAAAATTGAGCTCCTTGTTCCAAGTATCCATCCTCATCAAGCTCCTCTTCCTCATCTTCAAGATTACTAAAATTCTGGTTCTTGATAGACTCAGCATTTGAGTCCCACTTACTAGAAGACCTGCTGCAGCAGATATGAAGGGGCTGCTGCTTCTGAAAATGAGAAGAGAGTGGATTTAAAGGGTTTAAAGAAATGGGTTTTTGAGTAAAGAAAAGAAGAAGAGAAGGGCTGGGGTTTAAGGGTAAGTGAAGATGAAGAAGACCACCATCACCCTTATTGATGGTGGTCTTCAGTCCATTCCATTGGCCAATATTACTCATCACATTATCCTCTCTCAAATATGACTATTTCAAGAAATGAATTGTATATAGTCCCCAATATTTGTGTTGGATGGTTTTGACATTTTAAAGTGATATAAAGCACATGTTGTAAATACTCAGTGTTTAATGTTAGTATTAGAGTTCTACTAAATTTGAGTTGTCACCAAGAAATCGTAAAATGTACTTTAACAAATGTGCCTTCATAATCAAAGAAATCTTGAATTTGAAATCTGTGAGTAAGAACGAAAAAAAGAAGATGATTGACCGACTTTAAAATCTAATGTGAAGCTAAAGGGAAAAATATGTCATTAATGTGTTTCAAGGACAAAGTATGTTTCAATTAGAAGATTTGAATATCTCTAAATATAATTTTAAAAGTGAAAAATAAGTTAGAAAACAGATAAGTTGGATTTGAAAATTTCTTTTAAAAAAACTAGAGTATAATTTTGTCTAGTTAAATAAAAAAAAAATCAGTATTACTTCATCCCTTATTCCCCTTTTTTTAAAAAGTAGATATGAAACTCAAAATATAGTAGACTCAATCTAATAGTATCAGATTCTCTGAAAGTGTAGTGTGTATGCGATCTTACCTTTATTTTACGACTATAAAGTCATTTCCAATAAACCCTCAACTCAAACCATATTTTTTGGAAGGTTCCAATATCTCCACCAATTCATAGAGAGAACTTAAACTAAACACATACATATTCTCTCCCTTCGTTTCAATTTATTTATCGTGTTTCAAATCAAAATAAGACAAGTGAATTGAAACTGATGAAGTATTTATATTATCCCCCTTTACCATCTAATGAACATATACCAATTAAAATAGATTAACTAAATAATTTTGTCAAATCAAACTTGGTAGAATTCAGTTTATAGTAAAAATGGAAAACCAACTCTTTTCTTTTTCTTTCTTTTACCATTAGTCTACAAAACAGAAACCATTAAAAAGTACAAAATGTTGAATACATATAAACACTTGCATGTTTGTGACTGGAAATTTTCTTTTTTTTCTCTCTTGAACCTTCACTTGAAAGAAAACCAACTAGTCTATTTCAATTTCTGATGTACATTTGAAGCCATATATCAATACAACGAAATGTCAAACTTGTAGACACAGCAAACTTCTTCACCTATCCCAACTTTTCGGCGACATTTCCTCTTCTATCATGTTAGTATTTTCTCGGCTCTCCTGAAGCCACCTTAAGCACAACGTTTTTTGCACTGCCTCGTAGCACGAAAAAGATCAGTCAGTCTGTAATGTCTAATGTAAGTACACAACCGGAAGTAAAAATCCTCTCTTTGCCACCAGTGGCACACATTCAACCAACTATACAGTAAACCATCAGCAACACACTCAACTTTGAAGCCACCAGTCATTGTCCTGATATGTATATTTTCATAACACCCTGAATAATCGTATGTGTTAGACAAAGAACGAAATGTTTCGGAGGAACATCAAAAGAACATAATCAAGAGGTATAACCCTACTCTCTCATGAAAAAATGGTTTGACAGTGATGATTAAAGATGACAGAACATGACTCAGGACTAAATTAAAACAAATGAAGAATTGGAATTCATGCAACCCTGGCACTTGAATCAACTTTCCCGGGTGAATTGACTTTCAAGTTCCATCAGTTTGGTACTTCCCTCTAAACTGTTCTTTGTTGTTTTTTCTATTATGGATAGTTGTTTTGACAAATTTCAGGGTTATATCAAAACACAAATTGGTCCATGGATTGAAAATAAAGTAGACACAAAAAAACGTAATTAGTCATATGTTTCCTCCTATCAAGTAGATCAACGAACAAATCTAAATCTTAGTCAAACACCCCCAATCAACAAGGGTTCTCCTCATCCAAAATCGGTTTCAAGAAGCAGGTTTTCGACTCACAAGGACGTATGTGAAAGCATAGGAAAGAAGCCAGAAGCATCACTATGTCAACAATTGACAGAAACATGGAAAAGAAAAGAGATAGTTACCAAATTTTACAACTAGTAACCATCTGCTAACTTCAACAGTTTCTAGCCTTCTAAAGCATATGTTGGAACCTGCATCACATTTGCAAAATAACAAAGTCATTAGCAGAAATGAATATCCCACACCAAAACCCCTAGGGCATCAGTCCTGGACAATTATTATTTTTTTGGTTAAAGATTTTAGTTCTAGCTGTCTATCAGAAACAACCTCTCTAACCCGCAAAGGTAGGAGTAAGGTTTGCATACATCCCAGACCTCACTTGTGGAATTGCACTGGGCATGTTGTTGTTGTTGTATTACAGTTCTAGTTGACACAAAATTATGCAAATAAACTTGATGACTGGCTTCGGTTCCCAAAGGTGCAACCACATCACTAGAGGGAGTTGGCACTTGTCAAGTAACTGGAGTGTCCATATCCAGATTCTCTCTTTCCGCCCTTAATTCATACAAAGCTAGCTCAATTTTTGGACTACTATTCTTCCCCTTTTCATTTTCTCTCTGTTACCTTTAATGGTTGTTACGAGTGTATGTGATCAGTCACGTTTCCTGACTGATCTTCAAATCCCCACCTTCCAACAACTTAATCTAAAGTATATTAAGAAAGAGAGCTTATGATATCAAATACTCCTGACTGTACCCACCAACCAATCATCCCCCACCCCCAAAAAAAATCCAATTGGTGCAGCAGGATCAAGTTGTTGCTCTACTAAAGTCATGATTAATAAAAGTCCAACCAGAATAAGATAAACTTTGAATTCAAGCTTTAGACTACCTCGAGCATGTCTTCATCAGGGGAACAGGATACTGTACAGTCCAAACCATTTGATTTATCAAATTGGAGGATCCTCAATTTTCCTTCCTGCACAATTTAAGGTTAAAAAAAAAAAAAAAGATGAATACTTTTGAGAATATGAACAATTTTACAGTTGAAACCAAAAAATGAGAAACTCATACAATGCATGCATAACTACCTTAGTTCCATATACTAGGCCACCACCAACCAAAGGATGGAAACAAGCAACGTTAACCTCATCCTCTGCACTGGGAAGAACTCTCACAAGTTCCATATCCGAAACTCTATAGACCTGATTCAAAGACGCACAATCTGAATTAACTAGAGACAATAAATATATACACCGATATTGTGAACAAACCAAATTCATTCTTCTTTCAGGTTCAGCCAAATAATCTCAGTAAAATGTGAGCAGGAGCATAATTCTTCCTTTTTAAGTTGTTCAAAAACAAAGTGCATCAACACAAAAGAAGAAATTATCGTGACATACTAGTAAACTAATTAAATTGGGCCTCTTCAACCTTAAAAGTGTCCTTAACACATTGTTACTGCACTTGCACATCAAGCTATAGTAGCTCCAGTTCATCTAGCCCCACCTTCATCAACTTAAATCCAATCTTTCTAAAGTTAAAAATATTCTGCATCACTTCACCTAGCCCACCCCAACTTGTTTTGGACCAACGTGTAGTAGTTGAGGTTGTACTTCTTCTTCCCTTTTTAATAAGGAAATGAGGTTGTGCTTCTAAAATTAGTTTAGGTTGCAGTGCAATTGAAAATAGTCTCCACAATCCCATTTATGTCATACTATTTGACAGGTACAGGAGATTAAATTAGATCAACCAACATGTCATGTGACCAATGACAGATGTGAAGAAGAAAATGGCAATTTGAGTTTTCTGTACAAAGAGAAGAAAAACATGGTAGCATGAATCAAAGGTAAATTCTTCAAAGTTGTGGAATGTAATTTAAATTCATCTAATTTGTAAATAGTGCACAACATATTCTCGTGCCATATCAATTATCAAACCTTCATGGTACCATAGTGAAACATGGGTGACGCAACACGGGTCAGAAGGAATTATATGGCAAACCCTCTGTTATTAACTACACTCTAGAACCAACTGTTCATAACCTAGATTGATTGGCTCAGAGGTTAAGAAGTCAAAACCCCTTGCATGTTTGCAAAGAGTAGATGAAATTTATTGAAGAACTTATAAGAAATGTAAGTGACAGAACAAAAACCTTATCAGGTTTAAAACCAAACTCTTGAAACTTCCATAAATCATATAATTATGTCAATCATTTTTACGATGTCCGAAAATAAGAAGTGTGCTACCATGACCCAGTCTTGGTGGTGGTGAAAAACTGACATTCCATAAGAAGCCAGGATATAATCAGGTACTCACCTCAAGAATAGTGTAAACAGGTAGAGTTGTATCTCCATCAATCACTATACTTTTCAGAAGTGAACCATGGCGACGTCCATAGGCAAGTAAAAGATGCTCAGAAGTTGGAGAAAACTGCATTTTCAATAGATGTGGAGCCACAATCAGTTTCTCATATCAGAAAGATAACATTTCAGTCCATAAGAGCAATTATTACTGCAATTTAAAGGTCTATTTCATAAAAATGCCATTGTGAACATCTCTTAACTAGTGAAATCACGTGGAGACACATTTCTTTATCCAGGAAAAAGTTAGATTCTTTTTGTGCAAATAACAATGCACAGAAAGAACTACCTTTATAACTAAACAGTAAGCAAAATCAAATATAACGAAGTATAGAAGTGAGTGAAACAAGATAAGGTACACCACCAACCTATAGGAACTTTAAACAAAAAAGAAATTCTACTCTCCAAAGGAAGGATCAACATTTGTGCCCAGGACACAATTTCTTATTGAACAAGTACTCAACCAGTTTTAAACTTCATATCCAAACAAAATAAAGAGAGAGCTTCCCCTTCATTTTTGTTCTCATCTAACAATTCATATTTTGCTTTTACTTCCTCAAAGGTTTAAGACAAAAATGCTCCAACAAGAAAACCGTCTATAGTTCATACTCCCAGAAAACCACAAAATCTTATCACAAAACGTAATTTAGGATTATAAACCAATATGTGCAGAACCCGAGGAGTACTAACCTGAATTGAAGTCAAACAATGAGCAGCTCTAATTAGCCGAGATGCAAGCACCCTACCAAAACTGCAACAGCGAAATAAAGCTCCCAAATGACCACCAAACAAAGACATGAAAAGAAACAACGAATGAAGGGCAAAAAAAGTAG